GTGAGGTTCATATCGCACGTACCGACGGTGGCGGCGAGTTCCAGGGGCAGTTTGCGGAAGTTTGCCGAAGACACGGCATCAAACAAGAGTTCACCCCCCCTCACACCGCAGAATACAACGGTGTAGCGGAGAGAGCGCTAGGATTGATCACTGATGCCGCGCTTTCGTCACGCATCCAAGGGACGCAACGGTTCCCCGACGCACCGAACCACCCCGGGTTGTGGGTCGAGCCCCATTTCGTGTGCATGCCATCAGCTGAACTGCACCGCCACTAAATTAAACGAGAGAGACANGCAGCGGTTGGGTTTGAGAAGTTCTTGGCGGACTACCGAACGAAAGGGGCTTCGTGCGAGGTTTATATCGCACGTACCGACGGTGGCGGCGAGTTCCAGGGGCAGTTTGCGGAAGTTTGCCGAAGACACGGCATCAAACAAGAGTTCACCCCCCCTCACACCGCAGAATACAACGGTGTAGCGGAGAGAGCGCTAGGATTGATCACTGATGCCGCGCTTTCGTCACGCATCCAAGGGACGCAACGGTTCCCCGACGCACCGAACCACCCCGGGTTGTGGGTCGAGCCCCATTTCGTGTGCATGCCATCAGCTGAACTGCACCGCCACTAAATTAAACGAGAGAGACAAATCCGCCTACGAGATGTTCCACGACTCCACCGCCTGTTGGGTCTACATACCCGTTTCTCAAACCAGCCGTGTTCGAGTCGAGAAGAAAAGCAAAGTCGCAACCCAAGGGTAAAAAAGGATGGTACCTTGGTCCTGTCCACAATCACCCCTGTGACTGCGTTCGCATGCTAACCGAAGCTGGAACCCTAATCACCACCCGCATTTCCACCTGGCGCCACGTGCCCGCTGCATCGCCCGCTCCCCCGCAGCTGCTACCTCTCGCAGATGACGAAGAGGGCGGTGGGGGGGAGAGCAGAGCGGATGCATCACGCCAAGGTTGGGGGGGGGAGAGAGACATAGAGAATGAGTCCGACCTCGACGTGATGGAGGCTCGT